ACCCAAAAAATAGGTAAATTCGACGATAGCTTCTAAACTATTAAGAATTTTGCAGTTTTCTCGACGTCAATTGACTTCCAGGAATATTTTACATAGGTAATATACCTTAGACGTACAGTTTTCAAACAATTTAACAAAATAAATAAATATAAAATAATAAAATAAATAAATAATGAAAATAATAAATAATAAAAAATAAAAATTTGTGAAATTGCAAAATTAGTTTTTTTGAAGCCAGTGGGGAAACAAATTTAAATTTACAAATATAGTCCTTATTTTTTATAACTAAAATGATTTAATTTTATTGCCAATTGAAGAATTAAATTTAAACTCATCATTTCTGCGTTCATTTGTGCAAATATAGTCAATTTGTTGGTAACAGTAATTTTTTATTGCCAACTGAGAACACATTTTTTAATATACTAAACGGAATTTTTCAAAGCCAATTGAGGAAACAAACTTAAATTTATCATTTTTAAAAGTAATATAAAACTTTATTTGCATTTTTTTTGGAATTCACTGAGAAAAAAATGAGGAAATAGTCCCTTATCTAACATTTTTCGTGACTAATTAGAAAAATTAATTTAAATTCATTATTTTTGCATCTTTTTGCAAATTTGAATTGAATTAAAATAGCTTTTTTACAGTAAATTTCAATAAAAGATAATTTCAAGATAAGAGAAGAGCTTGCTGATAAGCAGGTAAAACGGAAAAAGTCAATATTTTTTACGAAAATGCAAGAACTATATTTTGCAAAATGTCAAGCCATAAAAATTAGAAGGACTTAATTTAAAAAATTATTCAACTTTGCAAATGCATTGTCTTAAAATCACTTTTTTGTCATGGCTTCCTAAAACTGAGATATTGTTACCTAACCTGACCTGACTCATCAATATGACAGATAGTTTTTTTCAACTATTCTCCGATATTTCCAAAAAAATACCTAGAATTTTTATGTATGTAGTTCCCAAAAAATCCAGTAATTCCAATAATCTAAATATAATTCCATTAAATTGCAACTTCCTTTAGATTTTTTTTATTCTGGCCGTATTCTGTATAGATTGTTTGGTATCTATGTTTATATTATACCACATCAAGGGCATCTAAAAACTTACAATAAAATTGTTTCTGCTTCTTGCTCTTGTATTTTATTAAATTTGTTTTTTGAAGAGTTAACAATTTTTTAAAATGTTAATAAAATATTCAGGAATTGAAAAAATCCAATGTATTTCTAGTATTTTCATATTATTAGTGTATACCTAGTCTTTGCATTTTCCTAAAAAAATTGAAAATTATAAATTACTTCAACAGAAAACCCCAATAAAAATATTTTCAAGATAAGAGAAGAGCTTGCTGAAAAGCAGCTACAACAAAAAAAGTCAATATTTTTTACAAAAATGCAAAGACTATCTTTTGCAAAATTTCGAGCCATAAAAATTACTTTGTTTCACAAATTATCTCATTTTTCAAACGCATTGTATTAAAATCACTTTTTTGTCATTTAGTGGCTTCCTAAAATTGAGATATTGTCACCTGATCTGACCTGACTTATCATTATGACACAATATAATTTTTTTCAAATACTCCCCGATATTTCCAAAAAAATACCTAAAATTTTATGTAATTCCCAAAAAAAATCTACTATTTTCAATAATCTAAATATAATTTTATTAAATTCCAAATTCCTTAAGTTTTTCTTTTTCATTCTAACCGTGTTCTGTAAAGATTTCTTGATGTCTACATTTGTTACGGAATATCACATCGGAGGCAACCGGAACTCACAATAAAATTGTTTCTGTCTTTTGGCTTTTTTTTACTTTTGTTAAATTTGTTTACAGCTTTCAAAAAAAATTATAAAAGTGTTTCTACTATTTTCAAATTGAGTATTTTGCAAAATTTCAAGCTATAAAAATTACTTTATGTCAAAAATTCTCCTACTTTTCAAATATATGTCAAAATTACTTTTTTGTCATTTATTGATTTCTTAAAACGTAAATTGTCGCCTGACCTAAGTTGACTTAACTTGACTCATCAATATGACAGACAGTTTTTTCCAAGTAATTTCTGATATTCCTAAAAATTTATGTATTTTCCACAAAAAACCAATAATTCCAATAATCCAATTACAATTCCATTTAATTCCAAATTTCTTCTGTATAGATTTCTTGGTGTCTATTTGGTGCAAAAATTTTTATTTATTATTGTGAAATTTGTCAACAGTTTTCAAAAAAGTTAATAGAAGTTACAGGGTTTCTAAAAGTTTAATGTATTTCTACTATTTTTAAATTATTCATGTGTTCTGCAAAATTTATTTTAAAAAAGTTATAGAAATTGCAAAAATCTAATGTATTTTTACTATTAATTACTTTATAGCAAAAATTGTCCTACTTTTTTAATGTATTATGTCAAAATTAATTTTTTGTCATTTATTGACTTGATTAAAACTAACTTAACCTGGCCTGACTTGACTAATCCCTGATACAGATAGTTTTTTTAAGTACTCTCCGATATATCCAAAAAAATATCTAAAATTTGATGTAATACCCAAAAAAATCCAGTAATTCCAATAATCTCAACATAATTCTATTAAATTCCAAATTCTTTTAGTTTTTTTTTTCATTCTGGCCGTATTCTATATAGATTTTTTGATGTCTACATTTGTTACGGAATGTCACATTAAAGGCATTCGAAACTCACTACAAAATTGTTTCGGTCTCTTGGTTTTTATTTACTTTTGTTAAATTTGTCAATAGCATTTATAAAAGTTTACAAAAGGTTTAGGAATTCCAAAAATCTAATGTATTTCTACTATTTTCAAATTATTAATGTATTTTGCAAAATTTCAAGTTATAGAAATTACTTTGTGGCAAAAATTGTCTTACTTTTCAAATGTATTATTTTAAAATTACTTTTTTGTCATTTATTGGTTTCCTGAAACGTAAATTGCCACCTGACCTAATCTAACCTAACTCTTCAAGTAATCTCCGATATTTCCAGAGAAATTCCTAAAAATGTATGTGATTTGCAAAAAATCCAATAATCTAATTATAATTCCATTAAATTCCAAATTTCCTCTGTATAGATTTCTTGGTGTCTATTTGTTGTAAGAATTTTCTTCCGATAACTTAATTGGTCAATTTCTTGTCGAAAAAAATGAGTTAATGTCATTATCGTCAACAATAATCTCTTTAACTTCAGACAGAACCAATAACACAAGAGAAAACACGTCTTTCCTAGGCGTGCTCGGCTTGACAAATCCTGTTACAAGATACTTGTGCGACAGCAACGTCTTTTGAAATCCACTCAATTATTAATTTTATTGTACACAAGGGTTTTAGCACTTTTATCTTATAACAACTTTTTCTTCTCTGATGTAATAACATTTTTTGCTGCATATACTGCAGGATAAAAGGATGACAAGCTTAAAAGCGCTTTTCGGGAGAGGATAATACAGAACAAAAATTATAAAACCAACTATTTTCATCGAGAAGACTTATTTGAAAGTATCTAGAATTATTAGAATTATCATTAGATAGTTTGAAAACATTTGTAAATTACTGAAATTTTCCTGAAAGTACTAGAATTACGGTAGAATTACTGCAGGATAAAAAGATGACAAGCTTAAAAGCGCTTTTCAGGAGAGGATAATACAGAACAAAAATTATAAAACCAACTATTTTCATCGAGAAGACTTATTTGAAAGTATCTAAAATTATTAGAATTATCATTAGATAGTTTGAAATTACTTGTAAATTACTGCAATTTTCCTGAAATTACTAGAATTACGGTAGAATAACTGCAGGATAAAAAGATGACAAGCTTAAAAGCGCTTTTCAGGAGAGGATAATACAGAACAAAATTATAAAACCAACTATTTTCATCGAGTAGACTTATTTGAAAGTATCTAGAATTATTAAAATTATCATTAGATAGTTTGAAATCATTTGTAAATTACTGAAATTTTCCTGAAATTACTAGAACTACGGTAGAATTACTGCAGGATAAAAGAATGACAAGCTTAAAAGCGCTTTTCAGGAGAGGATAATACAGAACAAACATTATAAAACCAACTATTTTCATCGAGAAGACTTATTTGAAAGTATCTAGAATTATTAAAATTATCATTAGATAATTTGAAATTATTTGTAAATTACTGAAATTTCCCTGAAATTACTAGACTTACGGTAGAATTACTGCAGGATAAAAGGATGACAAGCTTAAAAGCGCTTTTCAGGAGAGGATAATACAGAACAAAAATTATAAAACCAACTATTTTCATGGAGAAGACTTATTTGAAAGTATCTAGAATTATTAGAATTATCATTAGATAGTTTGAAAATATTTGTAAATTACTGAAATTTTCCTGAAATTACTAGAATTACGGTAGAATAACTGCAGGAAAAAGGATGACAAGCTTAAAAGCGCTTTTCAGGAGAGGATAATACAGAACGAAAAATTATAAAACCAACTATTTTCATCAAGAAGACTTATTTGAAAGTATCTAGAATTTTTATTATATACTGAAATTATTTCTAAATTATTGAAATTTTCGTGAAATTACTGTAGAATTACTGTAGGATAAAAGGATGACAAGCTTAAAAGCGCTTTTCAGGAGAGGATAATACAGAACAAAAATTATAAAATCAACTTTTTTCATCGAGAAGACTTATTTGAAAGTATCTAGAATTATTAGAATTATCATTAGATAGTTTGAAATTATTTGAAAATTACTGAAATTTTCCTGAAATTACTAGAACTACGGTAGAATTACTGCAGAATAAAAGGATGATAAGCTTAGAAGCGCTTTTCAAAAAAGGATAATACAGAACGAAAAATTATAAAACCAACTATTTTCATCAAGAAGACTTATTTGAAAGTATCTAGAATTATTATTAGATACTGAAATTAATTGTAAATTATTGAAATTTTCGGGAAATTACAAGAATTACGGTAGAATTTTTTTAGAAATAAAATTAATTTTTCTTGTTGTTTCTTCTTAGGCTATTCTCACGAGTTCGTCCCCAATGGGGCGGTGGAGACACCCCCGCCGTCCTCGAAGACAGCCACCGCCGACTCGCCCATCTTCCGCACCCGCAGCGCCGAAGAGACCGAAGCCGCTCACGACCTCCTCTCCCTCTCGCAAAGCCTGCCCCCCTTGCCGGCCCCCGGAGTCGTCACAATCCACCCCACCGTCCCGCACGAAGACAGCCCCCCATCGCCCAGTCCCTGCTACTACCGGCCGCTGTCCCCCGAGCCCCCTTTGCCCGTCACCGTGCCCTGCTACCCGCCCCCGATCGTGTATGTGGTGCAGGTGCCTGCCGCCCCCACGCCGCCCACCTCCGAGTGCTCCTCCGACGCCGAGAATCTGCATTTCAGCGACAGGACCAAGTTGAGAGGCGTGGTGGGGGCCCAGCAGGATATTCTTATCCTGCCGCTGTCGCCCGAGCCCGACAGCAGGCTGCAGGAACCGCCGCTGCAACCACAGCCGCCCACGACGGATGTGGGACAGGAGACAGTGATAGCATCTTCCCATCTCAATATTCCGGATAGGCGGAAACGGAAAAATAAAAGGACCAATAAAAGCAACAAGGCTGCAAAAAACAACAATGATAGGGACACGCTCGATAATAATGTTGAAAGGGAGAAGGAGGCGAAGCCGCCCAAAACGGTAAGAATTAAAAAAAAATAGAACAAACAAAGAAAAATAACAAAAATCAAGTTATTTCAAAAATAAGAAGACGAAATGTTATTCAAAGAAAGGGTGTAATTAAAACACTAGTATTTAGAGCAAGTGCTTGTTAAAGAATTTTTATTCCTAGCGACTTAAAACTTCTTTGAAGTTTAATTGGTGAAAATGAAAGAAAAGTAATGTAAATACGTACTTTGAAATTTAAAATAAATTAATTCTCTCTTTAAACTGAACGTCTTTTACTTCAAACTAAATTCGATGTAATTTTGCGATTCAACTTTGCTAAAAGTGCTGCTTGAAAATAAATAATTTCATTAAAACGCTTGTCTTTCAGTTTTTTTATCGTTTCAAGAGCATTTCTTACATTTCAGAAACTCGTCCACTTGTTGTTGACGCCAACATGCAATTAATTTTTTGTTTATAAATTGTTTGAAATTTTAATTATAAAACAGCACGCAAAGTGGAATTTACGTCCTATGAACGACTCACTTCCGCTGAAACCAGCTCATAAAATAAAAGTCAAGCCGGTTTTAAGGCTTAATCTTCGCCCAGAAATACTTTAATGTTTTCACTAGCAACTCAAAATCTTCTTGTTGTTGTGCAACAGGTTTGTGTGTGTGTAAAGAACAAACGATACATCAAAAAAGGCGTCTAACGAACGTTCGTTAAATAATAACAAAAGCTGAAAACATAATAATTGGTTGCGATCAGAGTTTTGCTGCGGCAACTGAAAATTGCTGAAATTCAGTAGATCGTCGTAGAAGTTTGATGAAGTTCGTGTTGTTTCCGTCGTTTTTTTTTTAAAAACGAGCGTCGAGTTTTACTTTTATGTGTTGAGAGACTACAACAAGTGTTTGTGTTGGGGACGCGGCGGTGCCATCGATCTCACTAACATGGTAATGTCGACTCGAGATACGAAGCTGCAGCTGAAACGGGTCGCGAACCGGAAAATGTTTTTCTATAAGAATTTTCCAAAGCAACAACAACTGTAAACTTTACAACAAATATACGCTTATTTCATGAATAGAAGTGTGACGCGGGCTAAGCCCTATCCTGGTGCATTTACCTAGTTTCGTTGTATTTTCTATTTTTTTTTTTGATGGTTAAAATACATTTTGTTTAATGTTTTCGTATTTTTTTACTTAAAAAACATTAAACGATAACAATAAATAAAAATCAGAATCAAATCTTTAAAAAAAGCTATCCCGGCGCATCCACCATTTTTGTATAAATTTTCATAATTTTTTTCTTTTATTAAATCACATTTTATTTATTATGTTTATTTCAACAACAATAAATAAAAAATAAACTGCTCCACAAAAGTAAGTCGCAATATTTTTACAACAAACAAATTTTATTCTTCGAAGCATTGTGGAATCCAGCAAAAAAGTAAAAAATATCTGCCTTTCATCAGAGTTTTAATTAATTATTAATTTATTTTTTAATAATTTATTAATTTAATTAAATATTGCAATTATTGCACACTTCCTTAACTTTTGTGAAACTGTTTATAAAGACAGATCTATAACGAGTTTTCCTGGCGAATATAAAATTTTTAATTTTTTTGTAGATTTCGATAAATTTTAATTTTTTGTTAAACTACATTTTATTAATTGTTTTTTTAAGAAAACAACAATAAATAAAAAGGAAATCAGCAAAAAACTATCCCGGTGCATCCACCATTTTTGTTGTTTTTTTTTTTAATTTTTAATTTCTATTTTTTTAGTAGTTAATCTACATTTTAATTAATATGTTTTTGAGCCTTTTCTATAAAGGATAAAAATCAACAATTAATAGAAAGCAAAAGTCAAATCTGTAAAAATCTATCTCAGCACATTTGCCATTTTCTTTAGATTTTAATTAATTTTTATTTTTCATATCAAAATCAAATCTACAAAAAACTATCCCGGCGCATCCACCATTTTCATAAAAAAAATTATTTTTTTATTAAATCACATTTTACTTCTTTCTGTAGATTTCAATAAATTTTATTTATTTATTTTTAATGTTTTTGTATCTTTTTACCACGAAAACAAGATTAAAACAACAATAAATAAAATCAGTCAAATCAGTAAAAAGCTATTCCGGCGCATCCACAATTTTTGCTTTTTTAAAATTAATTATAATTTTTTTAATTTAGCAAAATCTACATTTTAAATATTATGTTTTTGAGCTTCTTTTAGTTATAAAAGCATAAAAAACAACAATAAATAAAAAGCAAAATTTAGATCTAATATTTATCACAGCGCATTCACCATTAATTTTTTTAGATTTTAATAAATTATATTTTTTTGTATTTTTAAACATATTATTTAATATGTTTTGTGAAAAAAATAAGGTATAATATTTCATTTAACTTTGTACTCACTTACCAGAATTTCTTGAATATAAACACCAGATAAAAATTACTTTATTTCATTAGACTATAAAAGACTACTTTATCTACTGAAATTAGTTGATAAAAGTACTCTTGAACAGTGAGTACAAAAAAAAATAAAAAACAACAACAGAAAACATAAAACCAAATCTGTGAAGAGCTATCTCGGCGCATTCCTCACTTTCCTTTTTATTTTCTTAAATTTCTCTAATTTTAATTGTGCTTATTTACTTAAAACAACAATAAATAGTCAGATCTGCAATCAGCTATTCCGGCGAGTTCACCATTAACATTTTTAGTTTTCCGTGAATTTAAAATTTTTAATTGTTTTTTTATAAAAAAAAAATTAAAAACGACAATGAATAGAAAACATAATCTTATCTCCAAAATGCTTCCCCGGCGCATCCAACACTTTTTTTTTGTAAATTTCTCCAATTTTGAATTTATAATTTCTTTGATTGTAAACCTACATTTTAATTAATAAATTTTTTACTCAAAAAGCATAAGAAATTGTTATTTATTATACAAGATGATAAAAGGATTGTTTATCTACGAATAAAAAGGTTAAGTTCACGAGTGACGAAGTACGCCTAGACTTATTTCACGAGTAGACAACAATCCTTATCGTCGCGTATAATACAACATTTTTTTCTATAGCAAGACTTAAAAGTTTAAGAGAAAAAATGAAATTTCAAAAAAATTACAATTTTTGGTTTTTGTCAATACGAAACGTCAGATCATTTTTAACAGATTTAAAGCAAGTTTAAGCCTTGTTGAGTCTAATTGAAAGATTATTATGTTGTATTTAGCTCGTTTGAGTGTAAATCGGACGCTTTATTCCACCTCGTGGATGATAAAATTTGTAAATTTAAATGAATAAAATAAGTTAAAACATTTTATCCACCCTTGCTGTTAAAGTGTTACTTTATCTACACTTGCAGTTGCTACTTTATCTACTCAAAAGAGTTAATAAAAAATAGTTTAACATCTACTATAAAAGAAGCAATAAATCGAATATCAAAAGCTATCCCGGCGCATCCACCATTTTTGTTTTCCTTTGCAATTTTTTTTTTAATTTGAATTTTTTATATTTTTTATGTATGTATTATGTATTTGTTTTTGCGTTTATTTACTTAAAGAAATAACAAATCACTTCTGTTTATTTTTTAAATTTCGGCAAATTTTAACTTTTTGTTAAACGTTATTTTATTTATTGTTTTTGTGTTTATTACGTAAAGAAACATTAAAAATTACAACAAATAGCAAACAATGTAAGGCTGTTTCGCGAATTTTAGAGAATCCCGTGGAACAAAACAAACAATTTCTTTTGTACTTCTTCAAACTTTGGACCAACAGGAGAAAAAGAACGTAGCTTTTAGTTGTGTTTTCCTCATGTTGTCTTATCTTTTTGTAGCATTAGCGTTTATTTTCGTTGCAGAAATTCTACAAAGTGGTTGAGGACGAGTCCGACGACTCCGCAGATCGCTCTCCCAGCGAGTCCCCCGACTCGACGACGACGACGTCGACGACGAAACTAAATCGATACTCCTGCGGAGAATGCGGAAGACAGTACGCCACGTCCAGCAACCTCTCCCGCCATAAGCAAACCCATCGCAGTCTGGACTCGCAATCGGCGAAGAAGTGCATGACCTGCGGCAAGGCCTACGTCAGCATGCCGGCCTTGGCGATGCACTTGCTCACGCACAAGCTGGCGCACAGCTGCGGCGTCTGCGGGAAGCAGTTCTCGCGGCCGTGGCTGCTGCAAGGCCACCTAAGGTCGCACACGGGGGAGAAGCCCTATGGGTGCGCCCATTGCGGCAAAGCCTTCGCCGATAGGTCGAATCTGAGGGCGCACATGCAGACGCATTCCGGCGATAAAAATTTCAGCTGTCCGCAGTGCCACAAGACCTTCGCGCTCAAGTCGTATCTGAACAAGCACCAGGAAACGGCCTGCTTGCTCTGGGACGAAAGGGCCAAGAAGAAGAGCGACGCCGCGACGGCGACGGTGCACGCCGAGACGCAGACCATCACCGTCGACTAAGTATTATGACGCTATGACGCATTACACGATTGCAAGGAAAAAAACTGAACGGGTCCGGAGAGGTGAGCTTTATCTGGTGTACAGAGTGGTCAAAAAACATAAAATCAACCAAAGGTAACACTGCTTTAAGAAATTATTTTATCCAGAATATTAGAAGACAAAAATACAGTCAAAAGCAAAAAAATTATTTTAAAAAAAGTCAAACAAAAAACCCGTTCAAAATTGATAAAGAAGTAAAAATTGTACAATATGCAAAATTATTACTCTTAAATGACAAAAAAAATTGTAGTTTTTTACAAATTTTGCTTATTTGTAAATGACAAATTTATAAAAAACTTTAAATTTCTTGCCAGATATGAAATCATTATTATTACTTCAAAAAGCCTCAAAAATTTTACAAATCTTAAAATAATAAGTGGTATAACCAAACATAATTTTTCTAAAACAAAATAAGTACACAAATATTAAGTTTTTTAACAGACAGATCAAGTGAGGTCCAAAGTAAGACTGCTTTAAAAAAATGTTAAAACCAAAAGAAGAAACAAGAAAATAATATCTTTATTTAAAAAGACTGGAAGTGAAAAAGTAATATCACAAAGTAATATTGTTTTCAAAATAAAAAATTGAGGAATAAAAAATAAATGAAAAAACATTGCTTTAAAAAAAGACCAAAG